ATATTGAATATGCATCTCAAGCTGCTCTTTCGGGAATTGAGATTAGTGATCAAATTTGCCAAGGAACGAACATTATGAAAGCTAAAATCTTAAATTTTCACATATAACTTACACAAGAAACGAACAAATCTTTAGCTAAATACCTCAAAAACTGCAACAAAGAAGCCGACTGAAGAACCCATAATTTCTGGCACAAAACCCCCTTCTTCCCAAAATCTTCTTTCGCTTATGATTCTCCTGCGCAATTCAGGATTTTTCCTTTTGCAGATTCGAGCAGACGGTGAATGATTTATGTGAGAAGACTCGTTGAACTCCACTACAACGACTGCATCGTGAATCGACCGCTGTAAACCCAACAGCCACAAACAAAAAACCAAAACCTGTCCCAAAACAACACTCCCAAACTGAAAAGCAAGAAAAAAGCAAGAAAGGGAGGGAGGGGGGAGCCGAAGCTCCCACCCCCAAAAGAAGTCACTGAGAAGGGACGGTTAGTACCCCAAGGGAAAAAGGGAGATCCCGTAAAATCAAGAAAGACAAAACCCATATACCTTTCTCTCGAGGTCGGTGGTGCCTTCACGACGCTTCTTCTTTGTGTGTTTGTGTGGAAAATGAAGGAAAATTGAGAGAGAGAAATGGCGAGAAGAAAGTAGAGGAGCAGGCATGGATGTTGCGTAAAGAAATAGACATTGGGATTTTTTTTTTTATTATGATGCCAAAACGACGTCGTCTGAGGACGAAAGTGTGAACATTACAGGAAAACTGTCTCTTTTATTGTATAGGGATTTGTATCCGATTCGATCTGTTGAACCTTTTGACCCTTGAACTTTAACCTTTTCGGGTTGATGCTCGGATCGATTTTTCAAAACATTGCAAAAAACTATGGAATTCTATGCAGAAATTTATGCTTCTCTCACCCTTTTCTGAAAAAAGTAAAGTACATTAGAGAAACTTTAAATTATCAACTTATATCAATTTTCTTTTTAAAAAAAAAAACCTATATTAATAGAAAATTATCAACTGCTAAAAACTGACTTGTTGGTTAGTAAATGGGTCCAAGCAGGCAGCCTAGAACCGAAACTATGGCTGGACAAAACTTTCGAACCAAATCAGATTGAACCGAATCGGGCAGTTCTTCTTAAATTAAATATCCGAACAACTATCTAAATACCTAGAACGGAAGCTAGGATTGGACAAAACTCTCGAACCAAACCGACTGAACCGAGCAATTCATTTTAAATTAAATACATGGACGAATATCTAAATTAAGAACCAACGGGTTTGGTTCGATTCTCGATTCTAAACCTAGAACCGAAGAACATACCTCTCTAATTTTTTTAAATTTTTTTATCTTAAATAAGTCAAATTATTTTATTTTTTTCCAAATGAATTTGCTAACCAATTAATTTAGCTCAAACCTAAAATAAGATTTTATTATTTTCGATTTTTAGCCAAACCCAACTTAATTTAATTGACCTAAATTTTACCCAAATCTCTTATTCTATCGTAGCATCATTTATGCCGTTCTATTATTGTGAACTATCTATCTTCCATTTCTTATGATTTTAACAGTCATATCTATGAAAAACTCAACAAAGAAATATACAAGATTGGACTACATTATTTTGTAAGAGTTAAGATTGATCATGTTATAGTCGAATTAATGTAGAGTTGTTGTAAATATAAAAAAAATTAATTATTGTACGGAACCGAACCTGAACGTTTCCATAATTAAATTTGGACCGGACGGTTCCACTTACTAAATACCCGAAAAATTCGATTCGGTTCGGTTCAGAATCGGACCATGTCCAGCCCTAAGAAAAAACTAGATTGAAAATTAAAAGGGAAAGATGAATTAGCGTACCTGTGAACAAGAAAATAATGGTCAATGAAGACAGAAGACGGCATTCATTTTCATTAACCATTATTACAAACTGCTGAATCATCTAATATAATGTAAAACAAATAGAGGAGGAAATAAAATAACTGTGAACAAGAAAATGAAAGCAAAATTATCTGAGAAGAAAGTTGGTTACTTGCCTCACATTTATTGGAAGAATTTGTTCCTGTTATATCAAAAGGCTGTTCTAGCCAACTTCCAAAAGACAGGATAAGAGCACATTTATAGGACTATATATCTAAAAGAATAATAATATCTAGCATTAATGGTGCTATAACACTAGTCTAAGTGGCCACCCTTGAGAGGTTCGATTAAATGAATTATATAACATTACATTTAATTGAATCTATCATTTAATGCATGCAATCGCCATCTAGACTGGTGTTTAACACTAGTGGTAATGAATAGCATTACTCTATCCAAAAAGATCCACTCTCAGCCATTCAACATGCAACCTAGCAAAGAGGTGGTTTACTGAAGTGGATTCTCTCTTTTGTCGTTGATACACCCTTCGTCGTTCATTCAGGGTGCATGCAAGTTTCTCGCTCAATATACTCTAATGGATATTGTTAGGAACATGAGGCAGAAGAGAGGACTCCCAAGTTTCTCTCTCAATATACTCTAATGGATATTGTTAGGAACATGAGGCAGAAGAAAGCCCAAACTGAGCACCCATTTTTGAAAAGCCTACCGGACTTTGTGTCTTCCTTCGAAATTCTATTTTTTCATGGAAAAGCAAAGGCATTTTCCTTACTCATCCATTGAAATCCAGAACATTCACATAGAGGAGTATCAGTATGACTTATGCTCCTCCACTTACGCCCACTGGATCAGTGGGATCCCAATATCGATTTCTTAGGTAAGCTTCCTGTCCAGAAACCAATGAACCAATGAACTTCAACCTAGACAACAGATACACATATTAATTCAAATGACCATTTAAAAGAATCCTGTTAAGTATATCCTTACCCTTTCCCTCTACTTGAATCGGAGGGGTGAACTGAGGGGTAACTCTACCAATTCGTAGGCCAATCCCAGAAAATTGTACAAAATATTAAGCCCAAGTACCCTCTTTCTTATCAAGAATACCCTGTGTTAACATTCTGAGGGTTTGAGGATTCAGCTGGCAACCATTTTTCTTCATGACATCTAACAGCTCAGAGCATTCATCAACAAGCCCCATTTTCAGCACGCCATCAATCAGAAGCTTCCAGGCCACTTCATCAGAATTGTACCAACAGTGAAGCAGCCTACGGAACGTGGTCTTAGCCTTCTCATCATTTCCTTCATCATAAAACCCACATACAAGAAGTTTCCAAGCCTCTAAATCAGGTAGAAGGCCATTCATGACCATGCCATCAAGTACCTTCATTGCTTCCTCATACAATTTTAACTTGCACGAACATTTTGTCAGTGCATTATACATACCTTCATCAGGACACAGTCCTTGTAGTTTCATATGATCGACCAACCTCCAGGCTTCTTCAAGGCGCCCTTCTCGACAGAGTCCAGTGGTGAGTGCATTGTAAGTGCTTATATCTGGTGAGTAACCATGTTCAACCATTTTCTGAAAGAGTTCAAGAGCAGTATCGTATTCCATTATTTTCCAAACATCCGCAATATTGATTGAGCCACTATTGATTTCTGGATCTAGACCTATTCTGTGGCTATGTTCATTGATTCGTTTCTCATCTGAAAGATGTTTAATTAAAACGGAATAGGTATAATGCGATGGCGCACATCCACCATCAACCATGAATTTCAGTGTGTGAAAAGCACGATCTAAAAATCCTGATCGTCCATAACCATCAATTAAGACTGTGTAAGCCATTAAATCAGGTTGGACTCCTTCCTCATTCATTTTAGCCATTACATCCTCTGCTTCTTTCAACTTCCTTTGGTTGCAATACGCGTGAAGGAAGGAAGTGTAAGTGCAGATATCAGGTTTATATCCCAGAGAAACCATTTGATTAAAAACCCTATAAGCATAGTCATAGGCATATTCTTTTAACATTTGTTCAATGAGAATAGTGTAAGTAACAATTGTGGGTTTCACTCCTTCCTCCAACATCCTTTCCAGAAATTGTGTTGCTTCAGTCAGTTTTTTCTCTTTGCATAATCCACTAATCAGCACATTGTAGGTGTATGAGTTCGGAAGACAACCCTCCGTAAGCATTCTTTCAAACAAAGTTAGGGCAAAATCAACTTTCTCTATGTTGCAATATCCATCAATTAGAGATGTATAAATGACCTCATTTGCCTTTAAGCCCTTTTCAGTGAGAGAGTCAAATATCTCATATGCCTTATCAGGCCAGCCTTTTTCACATAGTGCAGCAATGAGAGCACCATAAGTTAAGTGATCAGGAAGTACACCGTTCTCTTCCATTAATCTGAGCAACCTAAAGCCACTATCTATGTCACCTGCTTTGCATTGCCCATGAACTAATAGGTTGTAAGTGACAATATCTGGAGACAGCTTCTGCAGAACCATCTTATTAAGAAGTGCCATGGCTTTGTGAACTTTTTTCACCTCACATAATCCTGAAATCAATTCATTATACGAACACACGTTTGGACTGCAATTATTCAACTCCATCATGTCAAGTATCTCAAAAGCAGCATCAACCATCCCCTTCTTACAATACCCATCAATCAAAGCATTGTAAGTCACTACACTAGGGACCAGCCTGTTATCTAACATAACATCATACAGTCTTCTTGCTTCATCAAACTCACCAACTTTACACATACCATCAATCAGTACAGTATAAGTACGAACATTTGGCTCGCAACCTTTCTCCTTCATTTCCTCAAACAAGCTCAACGCCTCCAACCTCCTGTCCAGACCACACAATGCATCAATCAAAATTGTGTATGACCGGACATTTGGGGAACAATTATCCTCTCCCATTTGCAAAAATAACTTCTTCACCTCATCCACCTTTCCTTCTTCACACAATCCGTGCATCAAATTATTATACGAAACCTCATTCCTTTGACAACCCTTTTGTGGCATGGCCAAGAAAATCTTAGTGGCACTATTTACATCCTTTCTCCTGCAATGCCCTAAAATCAATGAAGTGTATGTATGAGTATCTGGCCTCAACCCGGCCTGCAAAATCCTACTTAAGTACAACTCGGCCTCAATCAGATTACCCAATTTACAAAATGCATTAATCAGTGTATTAAAAGTATAAATATTTGGTGAGACCTTATCATGCAACATCTCTGCATATACACATTTCATATCATCAATCATTAGAAACCGCGACAGCAACATCAGAAGTGTATTATAAGACCTAAGGCTAAGCTTAAATCTCAAATCGCTATCACAAGTATTCATCTCACGCAACACACTCAATGCCAAAGTCGCATCCTCGGGTGATTTGCACGATTTAATCATTAAAATCCGGGTTTTTTCCGCTACCCCGAGAAAGTTGTTGGGGATCAAAATGCGTAAAAGGGAATAATAGGCTTGGACATTGGGTGTAAAAGTAGGGGTACGGGAGAGAAAATTGAAGAAATAGAATGCAATTTGGGGATTGAGATTCGGGTTTTCAGATAGAAAGGAAGAGAAAATAGAAGGGGATATGCAGGGAATTAGCTTCTTTACAGAAGGGTTTTTTTGCCAATTGCGTTGAGAGAGAAGGGAGAGAAGTTGGGCGAAGAGATCAATGGGGACGGAAACGGGCAGATTGGATTCGGAAATGGGTTCGTGTGCGATGGAAAATATGGACTTACCTGAGACTGATGCTGATAATGAAAGGAATGGTAATGGCGGTTTAACTGTGGTGGTCGTTGATCGAATCATTGCCTCCAAGAATCGGACGGCGGAGGACTCCACGCATGGATGTGGAATCTTTGTTTAGGATTTAGGATTTGCGATTCATGGAGCTCGTTGTGAATTACTGAATTCTCAAGATTGGAAATTGGAAATGGGGCTCTTGAAGTGGAACTGTTGTGCACGGAGAATTAGAAGCATAATGTAAAAAATAATTAGAAATGTGCATGGTGTAAAATCATTAGATGATTGTACAAGATTAGTCATTTTGGACAGTTTTATTGATGGGCAAAATTGTCCACCCACTATAATAGATTCAATCCCTATTTTTATTTTTTGATATCCAGATATCCCACCTTACACCAGACTATGTCCTGGACCACCCATTTTCGACCCCTCAGTAATGGGTAGAGGTTAACCGCGGGATATGCCCAAATTGACCAGCGTCTGTGCACCATTTATACTCCTGA